TATATCTATTAAATATTACATTCTTCAAGTGTACGCTACTTTATTGTCTCGATCTCTCGGTAACAAACAAATAAATGTTAAAAATATTTAAAAATATTATATGCACATCACGATTTATTATACACAGAACACCTCGGCATTTTGTAAAAGTAAGAAACATACGTACATACCGGGATGGGTCCGGAATTCATCTGAAGTTGTAGAAAGTTGTCACGTCTCGTTACCGTCGTTGTTAAGTCAGCATAAACTTTGCGGGAGAAATTTTGAGCGCTATCATGCTACATGAGACTTCGAGGAACGGAGCTATTGCTGGTGTTTGTCGCGACAGCCATTTAATGGCGTCACGATAAGTTTACGTCTGACATATATATCGCGGGAGCGACGCGGAAGTGCTAGACGTAGAAATCGTGACGGAACATCCGACGCGTTAAAATAGACACCCTAGAAACTGACGCCTTAGTGTAGTCACTATCTGTATCTGTGGCACACAGTACCCGAGGTCGTGATGCCATGTATCGCCGCACGTGTATATTTAGGTCTCCTGTCATCGGGGTTTCAACCCCGATGATCTATGAGATCTCAAGATCTCCTCATTCCGGCGGCTTTGCACTCAATCAGGAGGATATCAAGGCTGCGAGAAACGGTGCGGTGAAGGTGTTGGTAGTAGATTTAACAGATGTCTCTTTTAAAACTGAATTTGGATTAAGCAAAAGGAGCGCGAACAAACGCGAATAAACAATTTGACCTCAAAGAGACCGGCTACGAACCGGCCCTATGAAACAAGTTATTCATTCGCTTGTTTAATCTGGATCCTCGGCTTGGATACTCGTATTTATGAAAAGCGCTGTTAATTTATCTCTCTGAGGTTGGCCACAATTCTGTTAAAATTTGTAAAAAATAAACAGAGCTCTAGTAGTCCCTTCCACGTCCCTCTTTTCTTCATAGAGAGTTCTGCCGGTTATCCTCAACAAAATATAAAAATCGGAAACAAAAAAGTTATGACTTTGATATTTCAGAATTATAAAGTCTTTTTATTTCTTTATCTCTTTTATTTCTTTATTCTTTATGTTTTAGCTGCTTTAATCGACAGAACTCTTTTTAAACTCAATCGAGAACTCTAGAATCCTTCAAAGTACAACCGGAATTCTGTTTACCTTTTTTAAATTTTAAAAAAAGGGAAGCCAATTTTATATATTTTGTTCATTTTTTAAATTGTCATATTTTTTTAATTAGTATACTAAATTTTTATTGTTTTTTATTTTTAATTATTTTCGATAATACGATGTCTCGACATTATCGTTTGATTGAAAGACACGTGGATGGTAAATCGCGCAATACATGTCAGGTCATGTGTGTAGATACATCCAAATATGAATCTTTTGGGGATAGTAAAACAAATTACCCATCCGCGAGTCGATTATCCGTTTCTGATAGAAACCGCTTGTCGCGAGTGATATTTTTATGGGGGCGATATTGACCACGGTTCAGTGCATTTAGAATCACCCAAGCTTGTGATTCTCGATATTGTCTATCGATAACCGCAGTCTTGCTGTCATTTGATACAGTCCGTATATTTGTAAAAAAATCGGGTTTTTCGTTTTCTCGTCTCGAGAGTTTAATTAAACCGTTTCTCTTTGGAACACAAAGAAAAAGTACCGATAGCGGATTGAAAAGTTATTACATGACCATGGTCTTTTTGTTAGCGTGGAAATTATTTTTCTAGAAAATTGCAAAAATTGTAAGTGTTAATTTTTAAATATGCATGAACGCTACTTGTAACATGTTTTTTCTAATTTTATTGATTTGACATTTAGAAGATGCGATAAACAATCGTCTATAACTATATGAATAGTGAGATTGAACAGTGCAAGTGCGTTACGACGGAACATACGTATTTAAAAATGCAATTCGACGTCATGCAAGTTGACATTACGAACAATAATGTGAGGTACAGTTTGGACAAAAAAATTTTGTTGCAATTTTTCACATCGTAAAATGCCGCAGTACGACGACAGCTTTCTCGATTCGCCGAGATTTCGGCGGCGAACCCGCAGCTATACAGTGCAAAAACAGTTTATGTCGAAATCGAAGTCTTTTCACATCACGGCCACACCTTTGCTGCTGGCCGTAACCAATCACGCCAGAAGTCTTTCCGGTTCCTTATCGACCTGCAATTTAAAAGGTAATTTTGTTAAAAAAATTCAGGTTAAGGACGCGAGATGATTTTACATTTTGTGTCAATGCTCGTATGTTAACAGTAAAAAAAATGCAAAGACTTTGAAAAGTCATTTCCTATTAGCTATATGCTATTTGTCTTTTTATATTTTGCACGAACTTGGGCTACTTATTTCTACATTGATGTTATTTTATGCTGATTTTTAATAGTTTTTGCTGAAAAACTTAGCTAAAATCAATTATACATAATTGTCACATCTTAATAAATAGATTTTAAGAATAATTTCAGATTGTGCAATTTTAATGTAAAAACTTAAATTGTGCAATTTAAATTGTGACATTTTTTTACAATAATTTAACTCTTTTATTTATCCAATTGATACAATTGCTTCCTTGTTTATTGAAAATCTGGAAAAATAATAAACTAATTTATATAAATGATTTCCAGATAAAAGAAATGGTGTATTTAATTTCCCAAACTGTTATTAAAAATAAATAATTCGTATGCAACAATTAGAATTATTTGTTATTAGTCATATATGCAAATTGGACTACAAATTAGTATTAATAGGCATAATTTAATTTGTATTAATAGGTATAATTTCTCGTATTAAATTATTATAGATATTAACCAAATTGAAATAAATTTCCTCTCGTCGGTACGGATTTAAATATTTTCTTTCCAAAATGCTCTCTCTGATGAAACGGAATTAATTATTCTAGGCAACTAACTCTAATGAGCCTACAAAACGATTATGGCGCAGATTATATGCACTAATTCACATATCCATTTATAATGCGAAAAGCGAAATTTCGGGAATGTATGTACTTTGCAAAATGTTAAATATTTCATAGTAACGAGACCGTCCAACGAACAGGTTTGGTGTTTCTTTTGATAGCATATTTGATGGCGAATTGATAGATAGTTGCACAATTTCTATCAAAATATGATTACTTCTTGCAAATAATTAACAATTTAATCTGCATAATCGATTAATTTTTACAATTAATAATGCCATCGTGTTAAATATCAAAAGAAACATAATTATGAAATGTGATTTATATATATATATATATATAAAATATATAAATATATATTTAAAAAAAATATATATATATATTTTTTTTTTTTCTACGAATTATTGATTTACGAGATTCGCAGATATCGGAGAGATGTCATAAAACTATCTTTTGTATTAATCTCTCTATCGTAATATACGATGGTGTAATGCGTAATGTCATTTGCAATTAATAGGTAATGTCATGCGATTATTTTGTTCTAGTAATTAGTATGCGCTATCGTAATTAACTATTTTCCACATGTATTGAGTTGTATAAGCACAAATGAATCTGAGAGGAGGATGAGGTTTGAGAGGCATCGACGACAGACAAGAGCAATTATATAAATTATTATTTTTTATCTCTGTCATTTGTGATGATCATTATTTGTAATTGCTTTATGTACAGGTAACAATGATTCTTCAAAATATCAATTATTTTGGACATTGTTATAATTTACATATATTTTTATCTTATATAATAAAATGTAATTTTATCACAATCTTAACTTCGTTATTGTGCGTTATATCGATAAATGACTATTTTATTAATTGTAAGATGGAAGTAATGGATTTGCATGAAAATAATATTAAATAATGCGCGTAAATATATTTATTATAAATTATAAACATAAAAATATTAATAAATATAAAGTTTTATAAAAATTTATTATCTTGGAATAAATGGCTTAAAAAAATGGATTATTATAAATATATATAATCATAAAATTGTGCATTGAAATTATTTTTTATGTATGAATTGTGAATCATAAATAAGTTTTTTAGAAAATGAAATTAAGAACATTACGAAATAAATAATTATATTTGATTAATGTTTTATCTTGAATTCTTATTATTAAAATAGATTAGATAGATGAATGAATTAATGAATTTATGTTGGAATTATTATTGCGCAAATAATTAATGAAAATTAAAAGAGAGGAAATTAGAAGAAATTCAATGATATCATAAAATAAATGATTTAAATTTATAAAATAAGAAATTTTTATTTAAATTCTTTTATAGCTTTATTACAGCTAATGTATAATTAAGATTGAAACAAGATATTTACGTACACTTTATAATTAGGTGAAATAAAAATAAATTATCTATAAAATGTTGTATGGAAAAGATGTTAATTTAGTAGTTAATTTAGATGCTAATTTTTTTTTTTCCCCTAAATATGTCTTGAATATAATCTGACATTTATATTCGATCTTTTGTTTTTAAATAAATTCGTATAAAAAAAGAATATTTATAGATCTTTTAAAATAAATTTTATATATATTGCAAAGTTTTTTACAACGTTGTATAATTTGATAAATTTCACGGAAGTATAAATATCTTTTATCTTTCCGTTTTTTAATTATTTTTTCCAATTGATTTGTAAATAAAATGAATTTTTTCCATTTCTGTATAAAATATTATTATAAATATTGTTAACTTGATACGAGATTTTTTTTATATTAGATTTCTATAAAGATTATAAACTTCGAGGATTTTAAAAAACTTATCAACAATATGTATACATATTTATACAAGTTATCATTTTGTCATTCCGATAATTCGCTATTTCTATGCTATCTCGAACTTTACATTTGGCTATTATTTTCCATTTTTTTTACCTCGCGCGTATTTAATCAGTCGCGAATATTTTTTTATGATAATTACAACATACCGCATATTGAGTTGAAATTTACTTCACAATCAAGTCGATGTTATATCTTGGGATAAAACGATTCGTTTATTCCGCCAGACTCTATTCGTTCGCAACTTCGTCTAGTCTCGTTCGTTCATTCCGCCCGCTGTACGCAATCTACGTAATTTGAATTTAAATTATTGCATTCTCTTATAAAATACGCTACGATCAACGTCGTGCGCGTTAAACCTTATGTGCGCGGGGCAACGAAGGCATCTCGACGGATAATTACTAGTTCGCGCTGTCAATCATATTAAGCACCGCATGCCCATCACAGGTACACCACCTCCGACCATTAGCATTGTCGTCGTTATTACGCGCGACGTCTCCCTCGCAATATACACACAACCCGGATACACCACCCGGTGATTTCCCCCTAGACTCGAGGCGCGGGCAAATTGCTACGTTCGCTGTCTCACGCGTGCGTCGCCCCGCGTCTCGCGCTCGCGGAACATTCTCGCAAAATACTCTCGACTCGCTAAGTTAATGGACGAAATGATTTTCACCCACGCGGGAGGAGGGGGGGGGGTGAAGCGTAAATTGCGAACGATTAGAGCGTAATGACGTGGGGTCTTAATGACAGGCTTGAAAGAAAATCGACGTTATATTGAGACGTTAGCGTCTGGCTGATGAGATACGCATGACGCGATCGATTATCTAAAGGCGTAATACGTTACGAGCTGATGACTTGAGAGGCGAGGTAACGCATTTAGCCTGATTTTTTTTAACCTGATATTTTCTTTTTAAACTGCATTTCTTTTTTAACCCGATGTATTTTTTTTTTTTTCCATTTATGATTTGTTGGAGAGTTACTCGATTGACGCACTTGAGTCATTTATTCGTTTCTCCAATTATATCGGGGTTCAAACTCGGGGTTCATGAATAGTCATGTTCGCCAATTGTTTTTCAAGAAACAGCATATGAAGGATATTTTCGCTTGAATAGATCGCAGAAATAGAATCTTGGCACTGGCACATGGATTTTCATATGGTGGCGTACATTTGTTATGAATTTCGCGGCAACATCATCGTTTTATTAATCTTGTATTTTACCGATTTTATATTTTTAGAAAAGTTGTGTAGTATTAAGTTACGAGCTTTAATAATTGTTACTTTTGAAACAGTTGATTTCAAATCTATTTAACTTTTGATAAATTTAAGTAATTTAAGATATTACACGTAAAAATCAGGAAGAATTGGAAACAAATAATGTTTGACAAGATAAAAAAAGATTTATATAAGCTTAAAAAAAGCAGATACAGCAATATTACAGTTTGCTAAACTTTCTTCAAGATTAGCTTCGGATAATAAAGTCTTCGATCCAAATAGTTTCGAAAGTATTCATTCCCATTACACTTTTCGCGATGACAAACAAGTTATCCCTTATGAATATAATCAAGAATTTGGGTTCTAAAGAAACTTGCCCGTACATGATGCGAGCTCTAATATAATCTTCTTAATCGCTCAAAAATTATTCATTATAAAATAAAATTATCATAATCATTCAAATTCTCTATTGCAAATAATATAATTTATAATAGAAAAAATTTAATGTACTCTGTAATTTTATCTGCTCTTTTTTTACTTAATAAATTTAATACTCGATGTTACTTTAACATCATATCATATATAAAAGCGCCTCTTCTAACTTTTGCGAATAAATATAAACATAATTTTTATGTGTCTATGCTCGCATTATTGAACTCGCCGAATTTTAAATTACAAAATGCTTTTTAAGATTTATGATTTCAATCGAAATGGTTTCAATCGCGTGAAATTTACTTTCGTCGGTCAATGTCACATGCAGGTTGAACTGCTAGATCACGAGAAGCCCTCATCATTTGATGCAAAACGTCACTACCATATAACAGAATGTTTGTGTAACCGAAGCGAAATTTATACATGTATACACATGTATGTACACACACGCGCGCATGTGCTTTATATATAATG